AAAACTAAACAGTGTGATTGCCCATGGTAATTTATAAAAGAACAGTTATGAAGAGAGGATACATTCCAACTAATATAGCCTTAAACACTCTAAGCTTATAAGAACTAAAATAGTAAAACACTGTCCTAAGACTTGGAAGATAGAAAAATGGAATAAGTAGAGAATACACCCTGGTGATCCAAGGATATTTAAGGATTTAAGCTGTGGGGTACCCATATGGCTCAGTTGGTTAAATGTCCAACTCTTGATTTCAGCTCTGGTCAAGATCTCATGGTTTATGAGATCAAGCCCTGCATTGGGCTCTGTTTTGACAGCGTGGAGCTTACTTGGTTCTCTCTGTCTCTGTCTCTGTCTCTCTGTCTCTGTCTCTCTCTCTCTCTCTCTCTCTCTCTGTCTCTCTCTGTCTCTCTCTCTCTCACACACACACACACACACACACACTAAATAAACTTAAAAAAAATTAAGATGTGACAAGAGATAGTCTTTGCCATAAGTATAGACTGCTGCTCTACCATCTATAATGATTCCAAATAATTTCAATATAGGGAAATATTTAAATGTATTTCCCTAAATATTTCTGTCACATTGGTGGGGGTAGGGGCTTGAACAATATTCTAACAAAATATTCAGGGATATCTACAGAGAATTGAATTAGCTTTGAAGATTCTTTTTTCTTCTAATAGCAAAAACTTAGTAAGTGTTTTAAAATTTAACAATGAATGTTAGGTTTAGATGAGCAGAATATTCTACAATGAAAAAGAGAGAGAAAGACAAATGAAAGGGTCAGGGGGAGGGAAGAAGAGATTAAGACCCACATTTTTATAGTTAGTAATATGTATATCCGTACCCAAATGCACACACAAAAATGAGAGACAAATTGTTAACAGGGATGAAGGTATTAAAGTTATTTCTTCTTTTTGTTTTCTTTTTTTTTTTATTTTTTTTATTTTTTTTAAAAATTTTTTTTTTCAACGTTTATTTAATTTTGGGACAGAGAGAGACAGAGCATGAACGGGGGAGGGGCAGAGAGAGAGGGAGACACAGAATCGGAAACAGGCTCCAGGCTCCGAGCCATCAGCCCAGAGCCCGACGCGGGGCTCGAACTCACGGACCGCGAGATCGTGACCTGGCTGAAGTCGGACGCTTAACCGACTGCGCCACCCAGGCGCCCCTCTTCTTTTTGTTTTCTAAGAAAAAGCACAAACTCATTCTAAACAACTACAATGGATTGTAGATGTTTTCATTCCTATTTTGGACTCATCATTAGTGAAAACCATGTTTGTGTGATAGGTTTTTATGAAGAGCAGAGAATAATAAAATAAGATGAAAATTTAGTCATCTGATTCAGATGAAAAGTGCTTTAGTGTTTTTTTTTAGAGGCTTTTTTAAAGTTTATTCTGAGAGAGAGAGAGAGCATGCATGCAAACAGGGAAGGGGCAGAGAGAGAGAGAGAGGGAGAGAATCCCCAGCGGGCTCTGTTCTCTCACTTGGAGCCAGATGTGGGGCTTGAACTCAGAAACTATGAGATCATGACCTGAGCTGAAATCAAGAGTCAGATGCTTAACCAACAGAGCCACCCAGGTGACCCCCCGCCATGTTCTTTTTAATCAGAGAAAGGAAGTTTCAACAAGAGATTAAATACCTACTTTCTATAGCCAAAGTGTCACTACACTAAATTTTCTTCATCAAGAGATCAATTCTGCATTTCCGTAGGAGATTGACAAGAGGGGAGGGTTTCAGTAACAGAAAGAAAAAGTAGCGCTAAGGTATCAAGGAGAGTGTGAAGGTCAATAACTGAAGACGACTAATAAAATTTGGCCAGTTGTAGGTACCAGTTATAACACATACTTCAAAATAATTACTTTGTGTGCTTAAACATTCTTTTGAAAATAAGTAAATATACAACATAATACTTAAATAAATGCATAGATCATATTTCATAGGTTACAAAAATTCTTGCAGTCCTTCATCTCTTACTTTGAGGAGGCATGTCCTTATGCAGCTATATTTTTATCACAGAAATGAAACCCATTTGTTCTTTCATTCCTTATTCTAGCATATGCATAATGTAGAAATAAGTACACTGTATATAAGATGTTTGCATGATCCTAAAGGACTATATGAGTCTTAACCTGGGAGCATCTTATTTATTATGAAGAACTAGACCACATACAGTGACCACTTTCGATGGGTGCAGGTAGTGAGGGAAGCAATCTGTTTCACCAGGATTTTCATTACTGAATTTGGGCACAGTTTAGAAAATGCACTAGCATTGGGAGTCCTCCATAATTCTGATATTTTACAGCAGCTACATAAATGCAAATTCAAGTATCTTCATTAGCGCTGTTTCAAAGGTAGAAAGGGATTTTGGCAGGAAAGACATCTGTGCAACAGCACGAAGCTTTTACATTTTCACAAGTTGAAACTGATGGAAATGAATTGACATGCTTGGCTTCTTTCCTTTTTATTTCTTATATGAAAAAGTCTCTCTCTCCCACCCCCCACCTCTCTCCCTCTCTCTTTTTTTCTGCCTAGAGTTCTTATTCAGTTGATGTTTTCCTACCTACAATTTGTAAGCTTGGGACTATAAATGAAACATAGGGAGCTCATTCTACTGAGATATTTGTATAAGCTTCAACAAGACGTTTACATAAAATGTTTGAATAACAGTCTAAGAATGATCACTAAAAAACTTTCAGTGGCTCTGTAGTCAGTTCTGTGGACAGAAATTGTCCTGAACTCTAGTAATCTACTTCCCTTCTTTGTCTTATTCTTATTAAAATGTTTTACCAGCGATTCAGCAAAGTATGGTAGTTAAGAGTTCACAAGTTCACACAGAGGCACTCCCAGGTGTGGGTGCTGCTCTGTCTTACAACTTTGTGACTTAACACAAGGTCATATTATTCTACTTCCAAGTTTCAATTTCTTCTTATGTAAAATGAGGTAATAATAGTATAGAATATTTACTGATGGTTGGATACGTTCATGCATATAAACATATAGAACATAGCTGGCAGTAAGAAAGAGTTGGGTAAATAGTAGAGATCATTTCTAAAGTGATAATGATAGGAATGTGTAAAACTATGTCCTTCCCTTAGGACAATGAGGGGAATATGATAATGTGTCACAGAGAACTTGGGAAGTCAAATGAGGGGAATGTGTTAACTTAGGAAACACGCCGTTCTCTGTTTGGATTATCATTGCCCCCATGTATTAATCAACCAGTCTGTCCCAGTCATCATGCTAAGCAATGTATAATCATTATTCTTATCCCTCAAAACAAACTTTTATTAATGATAGCTCATTAAGAAGTAAACTAACTTCACCAAGGTAAACACTCATGAAGAGAAACATCAGGCTTTGATTCTATATCTTGTCAATACTAAAGCCCATTTTATTTCCACTGTACCTCACTACCCCTGTCTCAGGATGTTGCTTCTCATCTGGAGACTGAGGCTTTCTCACACTGATTTGAGGCTTTGGATCAGTGACAGTGCCCCCAATGGTCATGGAGAAAAAGTACATCAAGGGTGGACTGCATGGTGGGTCATCTACTGCCAAGGCCATATGACTTAACAGTAATGCAGACCTAGGAAAATTGGTAGAGGAATGAGCTTTCAGAGGTGGTAACCAGCTTTAAACAACACTGTTTGGTTTAGGAATAGATTAATATTGAGTATAATTTTTTGAGGGCTCAAACAATCACCTTGAGTGTAGCTTTGGCATCTTTGGAGCAGAGTTGACTATTGGGCTTGGCTTGAAGAAAGATCAAAACTGGCCTTTAGATACTTGAGAAATACTTATGATAAAGCAAGGGTGAGTCCTTGGAGAGAATGCAGGCAGAATTTTGTGAAGTTGCTCATTTTTATAGGTGGACTAATGCATGCTAGTGTTAGCTTATTGCATGCTAGTGTTAGAAGAATGAGGGGACAGAGCTTGTAATGGTCATTAGTGAGAGGTCCTGAGGTTAGGACAGGGTCCTAACTGATTGTTATTTCAGGGCTTCCCCTTGGGTATTTGGAATCCCAAGCAAACATTTTTTTACAGGGCCTCTTTATTTATACGTAATTTGACTGAACTAAAATCAGAGTGTCAGGCCTACTTAGGTAGCCTTATCTCATGTAATCCTAAGAAAAAGTACTATACCAGGTATGGGGAGCAATCTGCATGTTAGGCTACCCTCCTGGAACTGGGTCCCTGCTATGGGGCCCTAGGATGATCCTTATAAGTTCTAGAGCTCCTTGGGGCATCTGGTTAATCCTGTGTAAGGTAGAGGGCCAGAGGATTCTTTAAGTGGGAAAAATGGGAATCAGACCCCCATGCAGGCTCCATGCAGGCAGGAATGCCAACCCTCTACCATCACCCAAAGAGGAGCTTAGAGAACTTTAAAGAAGGCCCTCCAAAGTGCAAGGACCACTGATGTAAAGGCCTTGTGGCAGAGAGCCTCCAGCCTGGTTCTAAGGGTGTTATTTAGCTACTTTATAACATTTTTTGAAGAGTCCATGAAATAATGCATGCAGCTTGCTTAGACATTTCCTCACAGGTGATTGGTACTCAAGGTTAGACGTCTGATGACATCTACCAATATTCATGGGCTTTGTCAACTACACCGATCCTATGCAAACTCCAGTTAGGTGATTGTGTTTCTGTTGTGGTGGTGATGATGGCTTCTAATAGTTTATAAGAAGCAAAGCATGATTCTGAATGTTTGTGAGAATGTTTACAAAGTTTGTTTTCCTAACTACCATGACTCCTGTGATTTCCATGCCATCCTCATTCCCTCTTCTACAGAGGAGGAAACAAAAGGCCAAAGCACAAAAGTACCGCCTTTTGTGCTGTCAGAAGGTGATTGGTTGCATTTAGGTGGTTTACAGTTACCGGGTGCAACGTCTTTGGACGTTGAGCAAGCCCTGTATTGTGAGTCAGTGGTCATAAGTATAAATAAATCTCTCACATCCGGGTGGTGTGCTCTCTCATGTGGTGCTTTCTTTTCTTTCCAGATCCCCCAGATCAGTTACGCATCAACGGCACCTGAGTTAAGTGATGACAGGCGCTACGACTTCTTCTCTCGTGTGGTCCCACCTGACTCCTTCCAAGCTCAGGCTATGGTGGACATTGTAAAGGCCCTAGGATGGAATTATGTGTCTACCCTTGCATCTGAAGGAAGTTACGGAGAGAAAGGTGTGGAATCCTTCACGCAGATTTCCAAAGAGGCAGGTAGGAAGAGATTGCAATGGTCAAGATGACCCTCTTCACATACCTGTGGCTTGTAGTGTTCTTCTCAATCTTTACTAAACACACACTGTACATAATCACTATAGCCCTACTCTCACATTCCCTACTGCCTGTTAAGTGAATTTATAAAGACTTCATTTATAACACTTTGCCATTTTTGAAGAGAATATTTTCAAAAGTGTGAAACTGAAGTACTTGAAAGTATTAGTAGCAGAAGTGGAGAAAAGATGCTGTGCACTAAATTTGGTATCTTATTTCTGTGTAATGAATAACAGTGTGGATTGCAGCCTGCATACAGAAGACTAAGACAGTATTGCTAAATGTGCCTCTCCACACATACCCTTCCTCTCTGCCCCTCTCCAAAATGCATAGAATTATTTAGAATTATGAGACCCTGGTCATGGTGGCCCTTTGCTTTGAAGAGAAATGACAGTGATAGCTCTGAATTACTTGTCCAAAATAAAGTTAAATAAATTATCTAGGCTATAGCCTGTGTTTAGACAAATAATCTTTGGAACTTTAGATTATTTTGAGAAAAATGGCTCAATTAAGTAGTGCTTGTAGTAGATTCTTTTATGTTTATTTATCTCAAAATGGAAGTAAAGGGTTCAGCTGTTTGGCCAGCTGGTTTTCATTGGGCAGATTTTGAAAAATGAGATAAAATTCTTGCATGTAGAAATTCTGGCAATAAATATTTAGACTTCCCCTAATGGAAATATTGGATGTAGTAAACATATATTTAAAAAAAAAAACACATGCGTTGATGTTCCTGTAAAGTTCTTAATGCTAATGTTAGGTCCTCCATTTGGTTGTGAGTATTTCATCTAATCTAAATTGTTATTGACTGGAGTAGTTAACTAATCATAAAAGCAAACAAACAAACAAGGTGATAGAAACAGAGGTCCTTTTCATAAGGAAAGATGTCATAAATCCTGAAGACATGGTTTTGAATATTTGACTCAGACTACAGATATACCCAGAAATGTAAAGCATTGGCATGTATCTGCACATGGCTACTGAAAGGAGGCCAGGGCTTGTGTAAATCCCATGATTTTAAGTCAGTACATTATCATTAGCTCTAATTTGAATAATTCACTGGAAGCATTACTTTTCCTTCTGACTGAAATATTCTTACTCTTAGTACCTTTGACTAGATAACTTTTGATCGTTCATAGGTCTCATCCTAAATGCCATTTCTAGGTTAATATAAACATTCCCCAAATTGCCTTGGTTCTATTTGCTTGACCTTGTATTTCTAGTGTCTTTTCCCACAGCACTTGTTACATGGTAGTATAATTTGTTGGTGGTGATGTTTTCTATCTTGCCCCCTAGACTCTACTAGGGGATCATGTCCGTCTCATTCACTACTGCTGTCCCAGCTGCTGTGTTTCCAAGGGAAACGTACTTAATATAATTCATTTAGAAATTTTCTGATTAGGAAAGAAATCCTGTGTTCTTGTATCATGCATGCCATGATTTGTAGGAGTCATTAATAATTGACTTCGTGTACTTCCAAAGAAATACCTAATCAGTTTTGACAATTGTGTTTTTATTTCTTTCTTTGTTTCTTTGACTTCTGCTTTGACCCAAATGCTAGAAGCCAATTTAGAGCAATAACTAAAATATGAGTGTAAAAGCCAATAGACAAGACAAGTTAAAGAGAAAATATGGGTAAAATAGTAAGATGAAACTCAGAGATAAAGTTCAGATACCATCTTATTCTACGTTATTGCTGCAAGTGGGTCTCAAATTTAATGCTGATCTTTTGTGCTGGACAAAGCAAAGAGCACTACTCATTTTGTTACAAAATTTACAGTGTTCATAAGGTCAAAATCATGTTGATTGCCCGGTAAGGGACAGGAACAAGACAAATTTTTGCTCTGGATCTTTTATAAAGAGCTATATTTTCTAGACAGGTCAGTGGTGAATTTCATATGGTTGTTTATTCCTAGTGTCACTTGGTGAAAACTTAAGATATAATATCAGAGTCTGCTGTATAATGACACTGCAAAAAGGAAAAGCCTTTATGGTAATATGGTATCAACTCCCAGCTCATAACTTTAGCTAAACATACATTGAAATAACCCAGCTCAGAAATAAAGATTGTATCCTCAGCAGCTATTTCAGATGAGATCCTTCAATCGGAGAGCCTTTGAATTGGGGATGAGAGTAACTAAAAAGCCAGCTTCAGAATTGCAAGAAAACACTGAGGGTTTAGGTAATGTCTTGCAGATTAGTTTTCTTCCTATAAGTATTATAATATTCATTATGTACTTACAGTAAACTTAATCGAAACTGTTGATTTGTGCAATTAATTTAAGTGAATTCACTCATGTGCTTAACAGACACCCCTGCCCCACCCCTAAAGAAAAAAAAAAACAGAGAAGGGGGAAGAATTGCAATTTAAGTGGCATGTAGTACCTTTACTCACCAATGTATACATTGCTTAGAGAAAACTTGAGTGGGGAAACATGATTCCATTGCTTCTTCAGCTGTGTTCACTTATGTGGCCTCGTAATATGAGCATCTTGCTACCCCAAATGTGACTTCAGTAGATAGAGATACATATTCATATGCCACTATCTCTACAGTAATCCAACTGCCTCCTCTGATATTCAAAGAGACACCAATATATTCTAATTCAGAACCATAAAAAGGAGCAGAAAAATTTCCTTTATTGGAACTTCTTGAAAGTATACATGCTTAGGGAATTTTAAGGGTAATTTTAATATTTTTAAGTTTATTTAGTTTGAGAGAGAGAGAGAGAGAGAGCGCACAAGTGAGCAGGGGAGGGGCAAAGAGAGAGGGAGGGAGAGAATCTCAGTCTCACGAATCATGAGATTGTGATTTGAGCCAAAATCAAGAGTCGGAAGCTTAACTTATTGAGCCACCCAGGCACCCCAAGGGTAATTTTAGATGTCTACTTTTTCTCTTGTCTGATGACTGTGGAACCTGGTCCTCAAAGATACAGGTCCACGTGCATGTGTAGGAGGGGTGGCATGGCACAGAGATAAGCAAGCACTGTGGTGTCAGGAACATGTAGGTTTGAGTTAACAGATGCTATTACTTTCATGCTGTAAAACTTTTGATATATGATTTAACTTTTCAGGTCTCTGATTCCTCATGTAGAGAATGCAGTTAGTACCTGATTCATCAGGTTAGTAAAGTAAATAACATCATATATAGGGAATCATGTAACACCCAACAGCACCACATTATTATTAATGAATCACACCAGTTCTCTATAAATTAGTACAGTTATTTGAGTTATAAAAATTTGAAAATAATGCAAGTGATAGATGACTTTTGCCTTTAGTTATAGCTACAAGGTTATATATATATGTTATATATATAATTATATAATATGATATAAGTTACATACATATATAATAGTGAGTTGCTATTTTTGATAATATGCTTTCATTATATAAGAAGCATAAGAAGAAGGGGCGCCTGCGTGGCAGAGTCACTTAAGTGTCCAACTCTTGGTTTTGGCTCGGGTCACAATCTTTTGATTTCGTGACTTTGAGCACTGCATTGGACTCCAAGCTGACAGCCTAGAGTCTGCTTGGGATTCTCTGTCTCCCTCTCTCTCCCTCTCTCCCTCTCCCTCTCTCTCTGCTCCTCCTCCACTCATGCTGTCTCTGTCTCTCTCAAAATAAATAAATAAACTTTAAAAAATGCTTGAGAATCATTAAGAATCATTAATAAAAAGAAGTTAACTGTTCAAATTGTCCTATATATGTAATGTGTGTGTGTGTGTCTGTCTGTCTGTGTGTGTGTGTGTGTATGTGTGTGTGTGACAGAGAGAGAGAGGGATGAGAGTGAGGGATGTTTCTATGTACCGCTAGCAAGCTTGAAGGGGTTACTCCCATTCATAACCATTTGACCTTGAAGATTATGCTTCTTCTCTTTATAAATGTCTTTAAGAGTTTCACCCTTTCAGAATACTTTAGTTCCAAAATTTACTTTAGATTTAAGTCCTGAAGCAGAGGCTACTTGTAGAACTACCACCTGAGGTGTACCTACCATGCCTATAGTCAAGAACATGGGTGAGCTCTCCTTTGCCATACTCTGGTAGCACAAGTGAAGACAATGATGTTTGAAGAAAGAAGCCATCCTTCAACAGGAGGCCAAGTAATTTGTTTGGAACATGGAAACCTAGGCATATATCTTCTCTATGCTGTCAAGGAAAATCTCAGTAAGTCTCCTCTCATGTAGTTGTGGGAAATTGAAACATGCATGGATGCGGCTCCTTGTTGAACTTTCAGAGAGGATCATAACATGATTTTCTCAGATGATGAAATTTTTGTAGAATAGTTATACTTGCACAAATTGCCCTGTGTGTTTGAATGAATGCACATGTAACAGCAATGAAAGCAATTTATTGCTTAATATCACAAGGAATGAGACAGTTCACTCTCAATCCACTTTAAAGTTCAGGTTGATGTAATAACCTAAATAGCCTAAAGTAGAGATACAGATGCCTCTAAGTGACGGTAAAAGTAAATACTTATGAGAGTATTTACACCATTAGTATATTCCAGATTTTTGAAGCAAATTCAGTTCAAGGATTATGAGAGTAAGGACACCACATGTGATTCTTAGACTTTGTGAGACAATTTTCAGGAGAATCCCGAATGACCATTCCTTCACAGTATGACACAAATAGTAATGATTTGCTACTGCCATGGTATCATGATATATGTCAACTTTTCAAAACCTGAAATAACAGTTGAACTATCCTTTGGGTATTTCATGCCAATCACTTAATTAAACAGATATTTCAATTTGTCTTATAAAGTAATTACCATTCTTATTCAGATAAACTGTAGAATTTATTTTTATTTAATACTTTATTTTAGCCTAGAATATTTTTTCCTAGAATAATTTTCTAGAATAATTAGGTGAGACTTAATTGACAATTAATAACTTTTATACAGCCCTTAGTCTTTTAAGATCTCAGAACTAGTTGCTTATTA